AAAGTACTGAGTAAAAATGAACGGTTAGCTTTTCCAAAATACATTTATTGGGAGGTGATCTCTTCAAATAATATTTTTTTTTCTAAAGGTGTGCAGCTTTGATAGATTATGTACAAACTAAATACAGTATCAGAATGATGTACGTATATTTATACTTCTCATCCAACAACCATTAAATTCACTCTATCCAGGAGACACAATTTTTCAGGATAGTATTTCTTTAAACAATAACAAATCAAAATGAAACAGGAGAAATGACTTTCTACTTCTTACCTTTTTAAAAAACGTAAGGAGTAAAAAGTACAGATAATTTTGTAAAAATGTAWGGAGTARAAGTAAAAAGTAGGCTGAAAAATAATGACTCAAGTAAAGCACAGACAACCAAAATTTCTACTTAATTACAGTAACAAAGTATTTGTACTTAGTTATTTTACAACTCTGGTAACCAGTAATCAGACTGAGGAAGAGGAGGGATAATAAATCTGCTGTAGAATAAGAGAAACAAATAATAAAATCCTGTGAAAATGCTTTGCTGATGTCAGAGAGCAGACTGGTTGGAGAGGATAGAAAGGCAACAACAGGTCAAACAACCACCAGAGTCTGCATCACACCACCTCTGAATGCAACAACCCCAAACAGAAACACAACACAGGGTGCCTTTCCTGTCGGCTGAGAACTGAAAACCTGACTGGACAATAAGAGCCTGACCACCTGGGGTTCAGGATCCTGCCACTGACAGACCTCCTGAGCCTCGGCTCTATCATCACGCAGACAGGCCGTCTCACCTCAGCCTCTCCTCCTCCTTCTTTCGCAGCTTCATGTCACGCTGAACCACCTTCAAGACGTGCTCTGCCTCGTCGTCCGTCAGGCCTGACAAGTCCAGCTTGCGGCCCATTGTTTCCGTCTTTTCCACTCTGAGCTGCTGCTGATGATGACGGCGGTCAACGCAAGGAGGAGGAGAGTCGCAGGTGCTGTCGCGCTGGAGGCCGAGGTTGGGATGAGACTGGAGAAGGACAAAGAAAAGAACAAAGGATTGATGTGTTTGTGTAATCATTAGATCCTCAGAGCTGTGCTGAGATGAGATACGCTCAATTAGGAGCTGTTATTTAATCCAGAGATTCTTAATCCATGGGCCGCGGCCCGAGGGCCTCAAAAGAACAACAGTTTTTAACTTTGGGCCTCAGAGAGCCGCGGGACCGCATTGATTTTGAATAAGGTGCAATACACTTTCTCACCACTAGTGGCAGTACTGCGCCACTCAGATGCGTAACAACTTTTTTAATATGTAGAAGAAGAACCTTAGAAACCTGCCGAGAATGAAAATGTATTTTAAATGAAAAGTAGAAGCAAAAATGAAGGTAATCCATCAAAAAATGCCAAAGTTTTTCACTAATATGAAGTACAGCTTCTGTTTTTACCGCGCAATATTTAAAAGTTCAAAACATTATCAAATAC